TCTCGAACTCCTGAATTCAAATGATCCATCTGCCTTGGCCTCCCAAAGTGCTAAGATAACAAGCATGAACCACTGTGCTACCCAGGCTGGAAAAGTCTTTCTTTCTTTCTTTTTTTTTTTTGTGGAGACAGGGTTTCATCAGGCTGGTCTTGAACTCCTGACCTCATGATCCATCTGCCTTGGCCTCCCAAAGTATTGGGATTACAGCGTGAGGCACCTCACCCAGCCTTTTTTTTTTGAGATGGGAGTCTCACTGTGTTGCGAGGCTAGAGTGCAGTGGCGCGATCTCGGCTCACTACAACCTCCGACTCCCTGATTCAAACTATTCTCCTGCCTCGGCCTCCTGAATAGCTGGGATTACAGGAGCCTGCCACCATGCCCAGCTAATTTTTGCATTTTTAGTAGAGACAGCGTTTCACTATGTTGGCCAAGATGGTCTTGATCTCCTGACCTGGTTATCCACCTGCTTTGGCCTACCAAAGTGTTGGGATTACAGGCGTGAGCCACCACGCATGGCCTGGAAGAGTATTTCTTAAAGGGAAGGCAAGAAAAAGGTGAAAAAAAAGATTCCCCAGTGGTGAAAATTTGGGTATAAGCATGTGTGGGGAAAGGATCAGGGGAAAGGGCTCTCAAAGCCAGTCATTCAGACCACACCCTGTGAGGGCCCGGTGCAGCCCCCAAACTGATCTTTCAGCTCCCAGCCTACCTGAACCTGCCCAGGGGCCCGGAGTGGCCAGCAAAGCATCCCCACAGGGGGGTCCAGTACCAAGATGGCCACACAGTCATGCCCATTCCATATTCCTCATCCCCAACAAGGAACAGCCCCTAAACTGTCGTAACAAAGAAATTTTAATGCATAAAGGCACAGTGAGAGGCTGGAATCATTAGGCATTCTCATACACAAAGCATCCAGCAGGCTGAGCAAAAGAACAGGGGACTCTCTCTCCCTCTATTGCTGGGCACCCTGGAGAGTCCCCTGAGGAGCAGGGGGCATCCAGTCTTTGGCACAGTGCCTGGGGGCAGGAAGTGACTAGCATGGTCCCAGCTACCCCTCTGGGGATATTGCCACCAAGAGGCAGCTCTTTGGTCTGGATAAAGTCAGTGCAAATGTCCAGGGGTCAAGCTCTGGGGGAATGAAGGTGGCACAGTACCCCAGGGCTGGGCAGTCTCTGAACAGTCTCCTCAACCTCTCATGGGCAACATGTGGGCTTCTTCTTGCTGGCAGTTAGGTAGAGGTTGCTGTCATTACTGTTGATGCCTAAAGAAGGGTGGGAAATATGTGAAGCAGGATCGGAGACTCACTGTGCCCTCTGCCACCCTCAACCAGGTGGGCACTCACGGACAACATCCCCAATTCGTCGGGCCCCTGATTTCTCCAACTCAGCCAGCACATTGGCCTCAAAGGTCAGTGCTGCCACACGGAAGAAGAATTCTCGGACATTCTCACCTGATACAGGGAGCAGATAGGTTGTTCAGGGACAGTGCTGGGAATGGGGGCACAGGGCACAGGTGGAGGTGTAGCAGGGACAGGAGAGGCAGGCAGGAGTGCCACAGCAGAGGCCTGAAGCCTCCAACTCACCAGTGAGAGATGAGACTGCCCAGTACTCAGCCTTCATCTCCTGGGCCACCTTGAGGGCGTCTTTCTCCATCAGCGCATACTGAGCTGGGGTCTGAGGGAAGGTCAGAATCAGAGGGGGGCATTCCCTCACCAAGATGGGAAGTCCCCCCACTGGCACACTCACACTCAGGTCCTTCTTGGAACCTACGAGGAAGAGAAGCACACTGGAAGGGTCATTCTCCTTCAGGGCATCAGCCAGCCACTGCCTGCCATGGGTGGTGAAAGTGAGGGAGGAGTGAGCCTGCTGGGCCCCTCCCGCTGACATTCATATGTCCAATGACCTCCTCTCTGGTCCTACATGCATTCTTCTTCTTCCTGACCACCCCTCTGTTCTGAACCCTCTCTTCCAGGAGCCTGCCATTATATTGCAGGATGTTCACGTACTTGGTATGTTCCAGAGATGCCACATCATTCAGGTTGAAGACAATGATGATGGCTGGAAGAGTGGCAGAAACAGCTGCAGGTTGACAGGGAAGCCATGACTGGCTCATTTCCCCAATCCTTCCAGCTCTAGATGAGAAGCCATGTACACTCTGAGACCCACCTACCTCTCTTCACCCAGCCACTTACCTTGAGCTCCCCGGTAGTAGGTTGATGCAATGCATTTGAATCTCTCCTGTCCAGCGGTATCCCAACTGGGAGGAAGGAGGGGTAAAGCACAGGTGTGTGCTGGGGGGTGTGGGTGCCGGGGGGAAGGGATGGCTGGAAGGGGTGTGGAAGCACTCACAGCTGCAAACTGAAGGGGACGCCCAGCACCTCAAATCGTTCCATCTCAAAGTCCACTCCGATGGTGGCCTTATAATTCTTATCAAAGGTGTCTTTGCAGAACCTGAGAGGTTACCAGATGCTCCAGAGGTTACCAATCTGGAGTCAGCCCACCTGGCTAGGCTTGGCCCCACCCTGCCCAGTTCCGCTCCAGCACCCCCTTACCTATTAATGAGGCAAGTCTTCCCCACCGACAGGTCCCCCACCACAATGACCTTGGAGATCTTAAATCTGCTGGACACAAGAGTGGGCAAGGGGAGTGGGCAAGAGCTCTTTCACCCTAGGGAGTTCCAATGCTCCTGACTAGGTCCACGAAGGTAGCTGCACCTACGCTGAGGGACTTATAGACACCAGGCGTCCCAGGCAGCTGCCTGGACAGTTGTGCTGGGGAGGAGGAGTGTTTTATGCTCCAGCATCAGAGAGACATGAATTTGAATCCCAGCTCTCACACTTATTAGGTGTGTGACTTTGGACACGTTATTTAGCCTCCCTAAGCCTCAGTTTCAACACTTAAGTGAAGTTAGTATATATTTTATTGCCGGGCGCGGTGACTCAAGCCTGTAATCCCAGCACTTTGGGAGGCCGAGGCGGGTGGATCACGAGGTCAAGAGATCGAGACCATCCTGGTCAACATGGTGAAACCCCGTCTCTACTAAAAATACAAAACATTAGCTGGGCATGGTGGCGCGTGCCTGTAGTCCCAGCTACTCGGGAGGCTGAGGCAGGAGAATTGCCTGAGCCCAGGAGGCAGAGGTTGCGGTGAGCCGAGATTGCGCCATTGCACTCCAGCCTGGGTAACAAGAGCGAAACTCCGTCTCAAAAAAGAAAAAAGAAAAGAAAAGTATATATTTTATTGGGTAGTTGTGAAGGTTAAAATGAGATAAATGTCCTATATTCTAAGACACCCTCTCCCACCATTTTAACATCTCTGAAATCAGAATATATCTTAAGTGATGATCTTTTCCATTCAATAAAGATAATGATAGTACCCAACACTGCCTGGGACACAGCAAATGCTCATTTAATGGTGGCAACTGTTATCAGTATTACCTTTAAAACCCACAATAAGACTCATCCCTGTAAGCACAGCAAGACCCCTGCCCTGGAGCTCCATGGATGCTACCTAGGGATCTGAGCAGGTGACTGCCTTCCCATCTCAAGACACCTTAGTCTCTACTCAGGAATCCAGCTGCCACCCTCTACCCCACCCCATCTCAAAAAACTCACAACCTTGTTGGAAAGAGAGGAGAGAGCACAGCGGCTTAAAGAGAGGAAATAACCATACAGCTGGTAGGGACTGAAATGAAGCCCCAAGAGGGAGGTTGTTTACCCTTGCTATGGCTAGTTTCCTGGGACCTCCTCTCTTTGTTATGGGTGTCCCTAACTCACCCCACGGTGCCTGTCCGGTGCTCCTGGCAGGCGCAGGTGACGCGGGGGTGGAAGTCTTTGTGCACGTGCAAAGCGGCCTCCTTCCTCAGGCACTTAGTGGGAGGGATGATAGAGAATGGAGCTTCCGGCTCCTGGCCCTTGTCCCGCAGCCAAGCAGCCCGGGTAGGGGTGGAGTGCAGGGACCACCCAGAAGCAGCAGGCCTAGCTGGGTGGCAGGGCTGGGCCCAGTCCTCTAACTCGTCAGGTGCCGCCTCCTGCTCCCCGCCCACACCCTGGGCTGTAGACAGAAGCCTGACGTGGCTCTGGCGCCTACCTGGGGCAGCTCCGCCAGGACGCGGTCCCTCCGCACTGGAGCCAGAATGTTCATCCTGCCTGCGGCCTTGCGGGGCGCCTTGAGAAGGAGCCGAGGCAGGATCCACGCCAGCGACCCGAGCGCGTGGAGACCCGACAATCACCCGCGGCCGGGGTGTTCCGACTATAACTCGGGGCCACGAAGACCCTACGGGAGCCCGCGGTCTCGGAGACGCTACGACCACCGCGGGCCACGGAGATGAAACAATCAACCGGGGCCGGGGCGAACCCACAATCACTCGGGCCCTGGGCGTCCCGAAGATGACTCTGGGGCGAGGAGACTCCTCGGCCGCCAATTGGGGGCGGGGAGTCCCGTCTGGTGGGGGCCGGGCCCGCGCAGACCCTACGATTACGCGGGGCCGGACAGTGCCTACAATAACCCGGGGCCGCGGAGACCCGACGTCATCTCGGGGCTGAGGCGGCCCTACCATAACAGAACGGCCCGGGGGCGCAGAGCTGCCCCGCCACACGGGGTCAGTGTGCGCAGGGGCGGCGCTGCCAAGGCCTGCAGGCCGCTGGAGGAGGGGGCGAGGGGACCAGTCCGGCTGCAGGGCCCCGCGTCCCACTCCGCTCGGGCTGCGCGAACGCGGTAACACGATCCCCGGAAATTCCTGGAGAAGGGCCGCCCCCTGCCCCTCTCCTGGCCGCTGCAGGCCTCACAGCCCGCCCTCGCCTCCCTCTCCTCTCCTCCCCTCTGCGCTGCCCAGCTCAGGCTCCCTCGCCTGACGCCTCACCGGGCACCGGGACCGCCCCCAGCCAGGCTGGAGCCTATCCAGATAGGAACTCCCCAGCCTCCTCTCCCCTGCACCTCTAAGGCGGGCTGCGCCTTCATGGGGACCCTTACCCAGCTGAATTAGTGATGGGGAATCGGAGACTGCTGCGCAGCATCTGGCGATGCCAGGAACCCGCGGGGAGGGGAAAGGGGGAGAAAAGGGGCCCAAGGAGAGGCGGCGCTTCCCTCCTCAACTCCAGGCCCAGGAGGTGACTCATAGAGTCTGCCCCGCTCGCCCTTCTGCCCTGGGATGTGGGAGGGGGGAAGCGTTTGAAGGGGGTGCCAGGGTTAGAATGAGGTGCCCACCGAGGAGACAGACGTCTGAAGTCTGGCATCTTTTCCTTCAAGGCTGCTGTGGAGATTGGGAGATGGAAGGGCTGAAGATCAAGTTGCTTCCCTCCACAGAGGATAAAGAAGGGCTAAGTGGATCTTTGGGGTGCTCTCCGCTCTGGGAGGTGGGGACTCCCCTCCGGTGTGGGTGTTCATTGTTCTGACCCCATTGGAATCTTTACCCCCTAAGGACAACTCCTATTTGCAAAGTCCTGCCGGATAGAAGAGCGGGTAGTGCACAATCAATTTCACCGTCAAAGGGGATGTCTCTGGATTTATGAGGGGAGAGGGAAGACAGAAAGGATCAAGGGGGACGGGTTAGGCACACACCTCAGGAGAAGCAAACATGAGTGTTATGAAACCTTGTCCTGTGTCTGGAGCTGAATTTGAGGATGTAAAGATGACCCGGACATGGAAGGGAAGACTAGTTTAGGGTAAGGGACTGTGAGTGAAGTTACTCACAGGAAGAACTAGCGAATCTTGGAGAAATGCGTGGAATTTTCATAGAACTTCAAGAGCATTATCAGAAATGCAGGAAAACTGAGTGCCAGTGCCGCAGGTGAAGAGGGGCAGGTGTGGCCTTCTTGTACTTCTTCTGACACTCGTCCCCCTCGTGACTCGATTTTTTTTTTTTTTTTTTTTTTTGAGACAGGGTCTCATTCTGCCAGCCAGGCTGGAAAGGCTCACTGCAGCCTCGACCTTCTGGGCTCAAGAGATCCTTCCACCTCAACCTCTCAAGGAACTGGGACTACAGGCACGCACCACCATGCCCGGGTAATTTTTGTATTCTTTTGTAGAGATGAGATTTCGCCATGTTGCCTAGGCTGGTCTTGAACTCCTGGGCTCGAAGCAATTCGCCCACCTCGGCCTTCCAAAGTGCCGGGATTACAGGCGTGAGCCACTGCGCCCGGCCCTGACTTGATTTTTTTTCTGCCACCAAATCACTGTGTTATCGATTAATCACATTCCTCTCTGGACCTCAAGTTTCCACAGATGCTGGTTGAGCGAGTTCGACCGAGCAAATCCTGCTCCAGCACTCTAGAACTTAGCTGTATCTAACTCCCGAGTCAATCTAAATGTGTTCTTTCCGCTTGGCAGCGTTCCTGTCTCCTGGCGTGGCAATCCTCTTCCCTGAGACTGGCAGTTGATCAAGATGGGAAGCTCCTGGAACCAGATCCGAGCGACACTCGCTACGCGAGCCACTGCCCTGAGCAAATAAACGCGTGTCTTCCAAAAACTACAACCCCCATGAAGCTTTAGTGCCCTTGAGGGGCGGAGTGGTACATGCTAGGTCACGCTTGAAAAAGAAATTACACCTAACTACCGTTCCCAGAAGGCGCCACTCTGCAAATTACCCAGTCAGCTCTAAGTACAAAGCATCGCGAGTCTTTGGTGCGATTTGGCGCTATAAGCCCGTGAGAACGCGCTTCGGAGACCCTTTTCACAAGATGGCGCCGAAAGCGAAGAAGGAAGGTATGTGTTGGGGATGGGGGCCACTGTTGGTTTACCGGGGATCGTCGCGCCGCAGAGCGAACGAATTGGGAATATGGCAGCTGGACTAGGCCCTGACGGTTGTGCTCCGAAGCTGCTCCTCGCGTTTCGGACACGCAGTATACGTGGGCCGCGTGGGCCCAGCCTCATGGGCTGAGTTCCTGTGGAGGGAGTTGGGGAGGTCACCCCACCGGCATTATCACCCGCCAGGGAGAGACAGACAGTCGGCTCTGGGAAGCTGTACGCATCCACAAGTTGGCGCTCCATGTACCTGGGTCTATAAGGAATTAGTGCCCTCAGCTTTACTCATTTTCCTTCTGGTTCACCTTTGATCGGGCTACATTGCCCGCCCCCTCCGCGTGGTTTTGCGATGGGGTATGTGTAAAATTCGTAGGACATGTTCTGGAAAGTTATCAAGCTTTCTTTCAGTGCTACTTTGTTTCTTAGTCGTATTCCTGGAGCTGCGAGTTGGTCACTTTCGCCTCTGGTATCGTGCATATGATGGAAAAATTTTAATCTCCTGACACTTGTGATGTCTGCAAAGGAACCACTGATGCACGTGTGGCCAGGGTCGCCCGCTGTAGTTCTTGAGGCCGGAAGTGGCCTATTTTTAAATTCCTCACCCTCATTTTCTTCTCTCCCAGCTCCTGCCCCTCCTAAAGCCGAAGCCAAAGCGAAGGCTTTAAAGGCCAAGAAGGCAGTGTTGAAAGGTGTCCACAGCCACAAAAAAAAGAAGATCCGCACGTCACCCACCTTCAGGCGGCCCAAGACACTGCGACTCCGGAGGCAGCCCAAATATCCTCGGAAGAGCGCCCCCAGGAGAAACAAGTCAGTACTGCCCCACTACCCATGAAAAGATTTGGGTATCCTCCATTGGTAATTGGGAAATTTCACTCACTCTGTGTGATGGCTTCTCAGGCACAAGTTGTGTTCGATGTGCTTCTCTTTTTTAATTTTAAATAGAGATGGGTTTCACCATGTTGGCCAGGATGGTCTCGTGATCCGCCCGCCTCGGCCTCCCAAAGTGCTGGGATTACAGACGTGAGCCGTTCCCGGCCCAGTGTGCTTCTCTAATTGGAAGAGTGAGGATATTGTTTCTGCCCCATTTACAATGCTGGCAAGAATTCTTTTTAAATCATCCCAGTGGCTCAGCGCGGTGGCTCACGTCTGAAATCCCAGCACTTTGGGAGGCCGAGGCGGGTGGATCACCTGAGGTCAGGAGTTTGCGACCAGCCTGACCAACATGGAGAAACCTCGTTTCTATTAAAAATACAAAATTAACTGGGTGGGGTGGCTCCTGCCACCTTGAACTGGAGAGGCAGAGGTTGTGGTGAGCGGAGATTGTGCCATTGTACTACAGACTGGGCAACAAGAGTGAAGCTCTGGGCCGGGCGCGGTGGCTCAAGCTTGTAATCCCAGCACTTTGGGAGGCCAAGGCGGGTGGATGACGAGGTCAAGAGATCGAGACCATCCTGGTCAACATGGTGAAACCCCGTCTCTACCAAAAATGCAAAAAATTAGCTGGGCATGGTGGTGCATGCCTGTAATCCCAGCTACTCAGGAGGCTGAGGCAGGAGAATTGCCTGAACCCAGGAGGCGGAGGTTGCGGTGAGCCGAGATCGCGCCATTGCACTCCAGCTTGGGTAACATGAGTGAAACTCCGTCTCAAAAAAAAAACCAGTCTCAAACATTTCTGATAGGTTAATTATTGCTTCACATCTGGTCACGGTTTGAAAACTTTTTTGGGGAGAGTATAAAATAGAATTACAGAGATTCCTTGCTCATAGCTCCAACTGCTGTAGGGAACAATTCTTGAGGGTAAGAATGTGGGTTGATTCTTTATTGATAATGGGGATTCCATTATCTATATTTTGAGTTATGGCCTGCAGCGGTGTATAGAAGCTTTGTTCCATTCATTTTCCCAAATTTTCATACTGCTGAAGGAATGGTTGGGGGAAATGAGCAAAAGGTTGGGCACTTGAGTGTATTTGAGCTACCAGTAATAACTGACTTTAGCGACCACAGATTTGAGTAGAGCATTGGTAATAGTTACTACCAATGGGTTTTTGCTGCTTCTGCTCTTTCCTAAGAGAAAGAATGAGAAAAGAAAAAGCCGGGCACGGTGGCTCATGCCTGTAATCCCAGAACTTTGGGAGGCTGAGGCAGGCAGATGACCTGAGGTCAGGAGTTCCAGACCAGCCTAACCAACATGGTGAAACCCCGTCTCTACTAAAACTACAAAATTAGCTGGGTGTGGTGGTGCATTCCTGTAATCCCAGCTGCTCAGAAGGCTGAGGCAGGAGAATTGCTTAAACCTGGGAGGCAGAGGTTGCAGTGAGCCGAGATCATGCCATTGGACTCCAGCCTGGGCAACAAGAGTGAAACTCTGTCTCCAAAAAAAAAAAAAAAAAAGTGGATTGTGTTCATATGGGAAAGCAGTTCACAGACTGTCTTCCTGCCCCTCCCCCACCAAGTTGGACCTAGAATTTAGTGTGAAGTTTAGACCTGACCTGGTTTCAGACCAGGAAAGTAGTGTCTGAGTAAACAGCCTGCCGCCGACTTTTAGTGGGGAAGGCTGTATTATAGCTGCGCTCAGCTGTACGTAAGAATTTGCTCTTGAGAGATGGAGGTGGTGGCTCACACCTATAATCCCAGCACTTTGGGCGGCCAAGGCAGGTAGATCATGAGGACAGGAGTTGTTCGAGACTAGCTTGGCCAATGTGGTGAAACCCTGTCTGTATTAAATATAAAGTTAGCTGGGTGTGGTGGCGCTCACCCGGAGGTTGCACTAAGCCAAGATTGTGTCACTGCACTCCAGCCTGGGCGACAAATCCATCTCAAAAAAAAAAAAAAGATTTTGATTTCAAGAATTGGTGGTCCTCAATCATAAAGCCAGTTTTCAGCAACCAAAAGGGGCAGAAATGCATGAGTCAGCCTCAAGAACTCTACCAAATAGGTGATTTATTTACTGGAGACTCACTATCTCACTAAGCTGGAGTGCACTGGCACTCACTGCAGCCTCTGCCTCCCAGGTTCCAGCGATTCTCCTGCCTCAGCCTCCCAAATAGCTGGGACTACAGGCGCACTCGACCACACCCAGCTAATGTTTGTATTTTAAGTAGAGACAGGGTTTCACCATGTTGACCAGGATGGTCTTGATCTCTTGACCTTGTGATTTGCTCACCTCGGCTTCCCAAAATGCTGGGATTACAGGCGTGAGCCATTGTGCCTGGTCAGATGATTCTTAAATCACTTGAGAAGTAAGAGCCCTTCAAGAGAAAGAAAATGCAGCATGTTCTTCCCCTGGGGTTGGGGCTTCGGGCCCTTAGATTTCAGGGTGCAGATGATGACACTGTAAAGCGACCAAAGTCTGAACAAAATGATTGGTACTTCGTTGTCTGATGCACCTAGGCTTTCCTCTCTCTGGAGTACAAAAGAGAGCCGATCTTTCTATTGGTTCCGGGCCAGGTGACCCCATTTTGCCTCTCTCCCAGACTGGACCACTATGCTATCATCAAGTTTCCGCTGACCACTGAGTCTGCCATGAAGAAGATAGAAGACAATAACACACTTGTGTTCATTGTGGATGTTAAAGCCAACAAGCACCAGATCAAACAGGCTGTGAAGAAGCTCTATGACATTGATGTGGCCAAGGTCAACACCCTGATTCGGTGAGTTGGGCCTCAAGGGATATGGAGTGCGCTGGACCAGCAGTCTGCAGCCAGAAATCCTGTGGTTCATAAGCTCTCCTTGATGTTTATAGTCCCAGTTACGTAGGAGGATCGCCTGAGCCCAGGAGTTTGAGACTGCAGTGACCTATGATTGTCCCATTGTACTCTAGCCTACGCAATCAAGCAAGATCCTTCCAAAAAAAAAATTCCCCTGGACCTTTTAGCAGGGGGAAAAGTTTCCTTGATTTACACTTGGGGTTAGAAGTAGGTTTCCCAGTGTATGAGCCTTGAGGCAGGAATTACAGACTGCTGTAATTACAGACCTTTGTAAGGACCTCAGGCAGCACTTTCTAGGACTTGATTGTGGGGTTCATTGGAGCTCATTTTCTGGGGCCTCTGGAATGAGACAGTTCCTTGCAAATTACCTTGATTTAAGTCTCAACTTGGCCTATGATGTTTCCCTTAAGAGAATTGGCTTTGGCCGAGGCGGGTGGATCACGAGGTCAAGAGATCGAGACCATCCTGGTCAACACGGTGAAACCCCGTCTCTACTAAAAAATACAAAAATTCAGCTGGGCATGGTGGCGCGTGCCTGTAATCCCAGCTACTCAGGAGGCTGAGGCAGGAGAATTGCCTGAACCCAGGAGGCGGAGGTTGCGGTGAGCCGAGATCGCGCCATTGCACTCCAGCCTGGGTAACAAGAGCGAAACTCCGTCTCAAAAAAAAAAAAAAAAAAAAAAAAAAAAAAAAAAAAAAAAAAAAACAAAAAAGAGAATTGGCTTTGTAGCTTCATAATGTCCTCTGGGTTAATGATAGAAAAATCATTATTGGAAAGGAATGACATAAACAAAGGAACCACTGAAGTGCCAGAGGACTGGGGGAGGAAGTGGGGGAGGGTGTGTGGGCAGTGAAGGCGGCAGGGATTAAGGCTTCCTTCTCTACCCCAGGCCTGATGGAGAGAAGAAGGCATATGTTCGACTGGCTCCTGATTACGATGCTTTGGATGTTGCCAACAAAGTAAGTTTCCTTCCTGCAAACTCCTTAATGCTCATCCCTGGGTGCAAATGATGCATATGCTAGTGACCAAAGCCTGGCTTTTGCTGATTAGTCATAATTAACTGACTCCACTTGTATCCTTAAGCCTTACACTCATGTTCCTCATTTTGCTTTCTAAAAATTCCAGTTTAATCTTCATGTTTCAACTCCAGTAACAAAGCTTCTTTTTGTTTTTCAGATTGGGATCATCTAAACTGAGTCCAGCTGGCTAATTCTAAATATATGTATATCTTTTCACCATACACATGCCTCTCTGTCAATTTCTCGTTGGGTGGGAGGCCATACACAGGAACTGTTGTTGTAACTTGCCCACTGCTTGGGCAAGACTCCTGTTCTGCTTATCCTTTTGAAACTCACCCTGCCACTCACTCCTCCATCCTTGATCATTCCAGAGATCTTTGTGACTAGCGTTAGTGTCCTAGGAAAACCAGAACTCAGAGCTTGCCTCCATGGTTGAGGGTAACAAAAAGCTTTACAAGAACTCCTTTCATCCCTCGAAGAGGCTGTGTGTGAAACCAGTGCCCAGAGTTTGAAGCACGTTAGCATCCATTTCAGGGGAGTGTGGGTTGGCTGGCTTTCCAGTAGCATTTTGTCCTCACACACCCATTCGCTATGTCCAACCGGTCTGTCTGCTTCCCTCACCCCTTGCCCAATAAAGGACAAGGACTTCAGAGAAGTGCTTTCATTAGTGTTTTCAATAGTGTGGGCGCAGGCTCCGAAGGTAGAGAGGCTTGCCCCAGAGGACGCTGGGGCTTGGGGCTAAGTCCCAGTTTCCATGTGAGGCTGTTTCTGTTCTTGTCCCGTGTTTGCTGTCCCAGGCTCTGTGCCTCTCACTCAGTCAAAAACTTGTCTTTGTGTTGCTGCCTGGGGACACGCTCAGGGCAGAAGTCGGAGCGGAGGAGGCGGGAAAAGTAGATTAGGATCATCACGTCCAACATGAGCAGGACAGCCAGCAGGAAGGTGCCCAGGGTTCTCTGGCCCACATAACGCAAGAAGAAATGGGTGAGGTAGGCCTGAGGGGCCAGGCGGAAGAGAAAGTACATGACCAGGTTCACATACTTGTTAACCCGGTAAAGGAAATGATCCTGGGCATTACTAATTTTCATCATCATGCGGATGGTGAGGAAGATGTTGCTGACTTCCACCAGTAGCGTTAAGACACCCCCACCGACAAAACTGCTCCAAAAGATCCCAGAGAAGAAGGCACCCATGGCCTAGAGGAAAAAGAGGAGAATAAGTTAGGGAACCCAGATGCAAATGCTTTCCTGTAAGTTGATGGAGGACATCAGGTGGAGGACTGGAAAATCCCGAATTTCTTCCTTCTGGAATAAGTTTGTAGAGAATAAGATGCTTGGTTCTGTTCATTCAACATTGTTTGATTTTGATCCCGGCTCACAGCTTCCGGTTGTGGATGGTGTCTCCAGTCTACGGAGCCAGTGAGGCCATGGGTTGCTGGCCTCAGTGAATAAGCACACAGACTGCCAACCTCCAACATCCTAGCATAAGAAGTAGCACACAGGTTGGTGGGGGTGGGGTGTTGAGAAAATAGGCCGCCTCCCAGGTTCAGGAACGCGGTTACTGGCACAAGGCCTATTCCACATAGACTGTTTCTCTTACCATGATGTGATGGACAAGGTATTCCCAAGAGGCTCGCGCCTGACCGCTAGCCACGATGTCCACCGTGTCGTGGATGAAATACCCTAATGGAGGGATGAGACAATAGGTCACGAACGACTGAACAGGCTGCTTCCTGTCCCCAACTAGCCTGCTTCCTGGGCAAGACCTACCTGCAGAGAAGCAAACGAGCAAATAGCCAGAAAGTGACCATGCTGTCTCAATCTCCACCAACATGTCGGGGGTCTGCCATACACTGTGAGGGAGGGAAGAAAGGAGGCTCACCTTTCCGGTTACCCTTGCCAGCTCCCGGGGGAGTCTCGGCTCGCGCTAGTGGCTGACTGCGAAGCTAGGACCGGCTGGGCAAAACCCAAGTGCCTCGAGTTTCCCAGGTGCAATCCCCCTCCCCTGAGGTCACAGCAGCTTCTGGTTGGATAGGATACCAAATGGGATCAGATGAGAATGCGTGGCCTCAGCCCGCCAGTGAGCGACGGGGGTAGTAACAGAAGAGCCGGCCCCAACTCCTCGCTCAGGATTCCCCGGCCACCTCATTCCCACAGTCGCTCACTCACCACAGCAGCGCCCAGATCCCCGATACAATGGAGTGAGCGAAGGAGACGAGAAGGTTGTGCCAGCGCCAGGTGCGCAGGGGGTCGGCGTGCACGTGCAAGGGTAGGGGCAGGCGACAGAGCGCGCGCCGGAGCGCCCGGAAGGTCAGCGTGGCGCCCAGGAGCAGCGGCAGGGCGGGGTGCAGCAGTGGGGGCATGCTGTCCGCCCGTCCGCCTCCTAGGGCTGTTCTGGGACCGGGATCCCACTCGACCCGGTCCACCACAGCCGTCTCTACCGCCAGCCGCCAGCCCCACACAGTTTCGGCGGAGCCCTCTAGGCCCCTTGGCTCCTCCCCGCCCTCCCCGCGAGGCCTCTGCCCCCGCCCCCAGCTGCCCTCGCCCCCGCCCCGCCCGCCTGCCCCCGCCCCTTAGGCGCCGCGGCCGCGCGAGCGGGTTGTACACCTGGCCGCCCGGCCCACGCTGGGCTCCCGCGGACTTCGGGCGACTGGGACCTGTGCTGGGGGAGCGCGCTGAGGCACCCCTTGCTGTCGCCTTCCGACTGCCGACGGAGTCCCCGCTGCCCTCGCTCGCTTGGCCTCATTAACCCGCGTCCCCACTTTCCCCGGGGCCACCGACTCCCCAGCCCTGGGCGGGTACCGCGAGAGCTCTCTCCACTTTCTGGGCAGAGCTGGACGGGACCCGGCACGCCCACGCCCCCTAAGTCCCGGTCCTGGGGGGGGCTCGGGAGCCCAGCTTTCGACAGGGGTCTCCTCGCAGACCCAGTTCCCCGCACCGCACCACTCGCAGTCTTCTGGCCGGAAACCCGTGTTTACCCGTGCCTCCCGCGACCGCAAGGGTGGGCACTTGGGAACTGCTGAGTAACCCATCGCCACCTCTCCCCGTCCGATCTTAAGCTCCTAGGGCCGGGCGGCTGTCACAGTCCTCCCTCAGACAGTCCCGGCCCTCGGCCTGGCTCCCCAGAGTCTGGGCAGGCAAGATCGCCGATTTGCTGGGACTGCTGGGGTGACCCTCGCTCTCCAGGCCGGTGGCCCTGCGGCAGTTCCAGCTCCTGGCCACTAGGTGTCAGCCTGCCCTCACTGTGGTGCGGGCTCCCCCTCTCGCCTCCGAGCGAGGCAGCTGCTTTGGGGGAAAAGTAGGTAAAGTCTGGGCGAAAGGAGCAGCAGGTAAAAGCCAGCAAGGGAAGTGAAGCGGGGGTCGGGGCACGGAGAGAGAAGAGGGTGGTAATACAGGAGGGAAGGGGAAAAGTGGGGGTGCTGCGGGAGGGAGGAAGAAGCTAAAAACCTGAGGCGCAAGGACCCAGGGACCAAGCCTTTTGAGTGTTTGCCTCCCCTTATGGCTCCAAGGTTACACATTAACCCCTGTGGGACTCCTAGGTCAACCAAGGCCCAGTCCGTTTCTAGGTGAGAGCACGGGCGTCCCGGGTGAGCAGCTTTTCCGCCCCGCCTCTTGGCTCACAGGCTGCTCTGTCCGCCGGCCGACACCGGCCTGAGCCAGCACCCTTCCAGCGGTCATTCCACGTGTCCGGGTTTGGGTACCCTTGCGAGGGCCAGGGCTGGAGCAGAAGCTAAAACGTCCCTTTCCTTACAATGCTCTAACATAGGATTAGAGCTCACTCTAACATAGGGACTCTAACCCTCAGCTAATGACCATCCTCCTCCTGAACACTGAGGGTTTTGTTTTTGTTTTTGTTTTTGAGATGGAGTCTCGGCCAGGCAAGGTGGCTCACGCTTGTAATCCCAACACTTTGGGAGGCCGAGGTGGGCAGATCACGAGGTCAAGAGATCGAGATCATCCTGGCCAACATGGTGAAACCCCGTCTCTACTAAAAACACAAAAATTTGTTGGGTATGCTGACGTGCACCTATAGTCCCAGCTGTTATTCGAGAGGCTGAGGCAGGAGAATGGCTTGAACCCGGGAGACGGAGGTTGCAGTGAGCCAAGATAGCGTCATTGCACTCCAGCCTGGCGACAGAGGGAGACTCCGTCTCAAA